AAATATAGAATAGAATTCCACTATTTGTAAAAAGAAACCTGGATATTAACCTTTTTGTTTAAGAAAAAGTCATCTTATTGATTTGGGGTTCCCTAAAGAACTAAGTGTGTTATATCAATTGCCATTTAAACTTTATTCTGATATTCTTTAGTTTTCCCCAAAGTGATGTATTGCTCAGAATAAAACTAAGTCTTGTACACTACTAGTAGAAATATAATTTGGTATAACCTTCCTGGAATACAATTTGGTATTACATGTCAAAAACCTTAATGGATATACATACCCTTTGACGCCACCATTTTACTTGTAATAAATAAACGTTTCCTATGTTGTCAAGTGGGATTAACGAGGGAATGTTAAGTGCCATGTTGAGAGTTTTTAATAACATTCCCTCGTTAATCCCATTTCACAACATGGGAAATGTTACGTAACAAGTTTTAAAGAGGCTACAAGATGGTATTGCAATTGAAAAAGGGTTGTACATATAAATAGGAAAAAGGTGAACATTTTAAAAATTAGCACAAATTTTATCTGGTTGATGGGACTGTAGGTTTGTGTTTTCCTTTGTGCTTGTGGAATTCTTCACAGTTTTTCTGCATCAAGTATATATTAGTTTTGTAATTGAAAAGCCCATTTTAAAAGGGAATGGGGATAAATTCACCCTGTCATGGTATTTATAGAAGTACCAAAACATTATTTAATCTACGGTATAATTAGTTTGTATGGACTCAGGGGACAAAATTATAAAATGATATGTAAATCTGTCCATAGAGGGCAAAGAAAAAAATGTATCTTAATTTTTGTAAGGATTTATACATATCTTAATGTAGTTTTCTGCTTATGAATGAGACCTTCAACTGTCATAAAGATATCAGAAATGAACTCTTTGGGGGTCAGGGAATATTTTGAGGTATCCAGTGTTCTGTGTCTATGGTTACAAGATGCAAGAAATAGCACCTTGCTTTCTGAATGGTACTTTGTTGTCTATATCCAAACATAATATAGTTCAATGTTCTGTGAATTTATTCATAGCAAATAACCTGGCAAAACACTGGACTTTTTTTTTTTTTTTTTTTTTTTTGAGATAGGGTCCCACTTTTTCTCCCAGGCTGGAGTACAGTGGCACAATCACTGCAGCCTTGAACTCAAGAAGTCCTCCTGCCTCAGCTTCCTGAGCAGCTGAGACCACAGTCATGTGCCACCATACCTAGCTAATTTTTAAAATTTTTAGAGGTGGGGTCTTGCTGTGTTGCCCAGGCTAGTCTCAAACTCCTGGCCTCAAGAAATCCTCCTGCCTCAGCCTCCCAAAGTGCTGGAATTACAGGCATGAGCCATCATACACACAGACAGTTTTAAAAGTAAATTAATTTATGGGTTAGTATTTTTATCTAATTATCACTTTTAAACATTTTATTTAGGGAAGATGGCTTTATGCTTTGTTGGCTTGTCTTGAAAAACCTTTATTACCTGAGGCTCATTCACTGATTCGGCAGCTTGCAAGAAGGTGCTCTGAAGTGAGGCTCTTAGTGGTAAGTTGCAACTTAACTATTTCAAATTGAAAGCACTCACCTATTTATATGATGGTAAAAAAGGATTCCAATGAAATAGGAGAACATATGGGTTATTTTATTAGTTGGGATTAGATTTGACCACATAACAGAAAAGCCCAAAAATAATAGTAGCTTAAATAAAATGGAATGTTTTTCTCAGATAAAGGAAGCCTGAAGGTAGTCAGATAAGATCTAAGGTGGCAGTAACACAGACCTTTGAGTTCTGCCACATGTGGTTTTATCCTCAGGATCACCTCATGATCCAAGATGGCAGGTGGAGCTTCAGCCATTTATATTTCATTATAGGCAGCTTGAAAGAAGAAGAGAAAAAGGCCATCTCCTTTAAATAGCCTTCTCAGAGGTTCCACAAGCATATCTTCTTATATAGCTTTGGCCAGAATTGAGTCATATGGCCATAAGAGACTGCAAGAAATGTTTCCTTTTGGCTGGGTGGCCATGTGCCTACCTAAAAATGAGCTTCTGTGGCTAAATATTATTATAATTGTAGTGGTAGGAGACAAGCTAGAGTAGTCAACTAGTAGTCTCTGGCACAGTGATTGTTTTGAATTTCTCCTTTTGGACCCTTCCTCTAACTCATGTCTGCAGTGTTACTATATAAATTAACCTGATACCAAGTTAAGCCCAGTTCTGATTTTTTTTTCTTTCCTCCCTCCTTTCCCCTCCCCAAAATGTATACTTGTTCTCCATTGACCATTCCAAAATATTTTCATTCATCTTGCATGATGTGGCCCAGACTTAACTTTTATATGGCTTGTGTTCCAAACAAAACATACTTTCTGTTTACTAAATATCCCCTGTCCTTAGTTCTTAGACTTTATTCCCTCTACAGAATTGCCTTTTCACTCTCTTCCAATCTACATCTAAATATTTTTCACTGTATGGCTTGTATATTCCACCACTTGCTGTGCT